TCTTTTGTCTAAGAACATTAGCATCAGACATGGTTCAGATTTGGTGGGGGATTTTTTTCCTTGTTAATTTTTTATTTAATTAACATTTTAAAAATATTTTACATAGGGACTACAGTTTTTCCTCACTCCCCTCCTCCTGTTCCCTCCCCCCACCTACCATCTACCCCCTTTGGAGAATTTTAGATCTTGGAATATTTGCTGACATTTTACCAAATTAATCAGAAAATATGAAATCTAAAATTGTTTAAAATGCAAAGCTTATGAGCACTGTTAGTACATTTTGAGTTTTCCAATTATGAATACCCAGCCTGTGTAAGAAAGGTGTTTGTGTGGCCCTTTGTTCTGTGGTGGCCATGTGACATGCCGAAAACACCCATGCCTCTGGGTGTTCCCGTTCCCTTTCTCTCCAAGTCTCTGAAGTTACTGAAGGTTCCACAGAGGAAAGTACTCCTTAGCTGCTGTGCTGCAAGTTGACACAAGGCAGGCTAAAGTACCTTCTCCAGCAGCTGTGGTGGATCTCAATTTGAGGAGGTTTTTTTTCTTTTTACTGTTTCTTTATTTTTTTTTAATTTTTTAAATTTAGGTTAGAAACAAGCTTGTTTCACATGTTCCAGCTCCCTCCCCTCCTCCCCCACCTTCCCCAGCAGGTTCCCCAGTCCCCCACCCAATCTCCACTCCAATCCACAGAGAGGGTGAGGCCCTCCATGGTGGATCTCCAGTGACTGTCAATTCATCCAGGGCAGGGCCTAGGCCCTCCCCCAAGAGTCCCAGCTGAGAGAGCCTCCCATATTGTGGCATGGGCACGCAAAGTCTATTTGTACTCCTGGGATAAATACTACCCAAGGCCCCATAGATTACCTAGGCCTCCTCACTGACACCCACATTCAGGGGGTCTGGGTCAGTCCCATGCTTTCCACACAGCCATCAATCTGGGGTCCAAGAGCTCCCCCCTTGTTCAGGTCAACTGTTTCTGTGGGTTAAACCAGCCCAGTCTTAATTTCTTTGTCCATCAGTTCTCCCTTTCTGACACTGGATTCCAGGAGTTCAGTTCAGTGTTTGTCTGTGGGTATCTGCCTCTGCTTTCATCAGTCGCTGGATGAAGGTTCTGTTTCCCAGACTCTCTGACAGTGGGATTGTATGCTGGCACTCCCCTGATTCATGTCTAAAATCTATAAATGAGTGAGTACATGCCATGTTTCTCTTTTTGTGACTGGGTTACCTCACTCAGGATGGTTTCCTCTAGTGACATCCATTTGCCTGCAAATATAGAGATCCCATTGGGTTTTTTTTCCCGCTGAATAGTACTCCATCATGTAAATGTACCACATTTTCTCTATCCACTCTTCAGTTGAGGGGCATCTAGTTTGCTTCCAGGTTCTGGCTATTACAAATAATGCTGCTATGAACATAGTGGAACAGACATCCTTGCTATATGAATGTGCATATTTGGGGTATATGCCTAAGAGTGGAATTGCTGGATTTTGTGGTAGACTGATTTTCATTATTGAGGAATCTTTATACTGATTTCCAAAGTGGCTGTATGAGTCAGAACTCCCACCAGCAGTGAAGGAGTGTATCCCTTTCTCCACAACTTCTCCAGCATAAACTGTGGTTGGTGTTTTTGATTTTAGCCATTCTGACAGGAGTGAGATGGTACCTCAGAGCTGTTTTGATTTGCATTTCCCTGATGGCTAGGGTTGTTGAGCACTTTCTCAAGTGTCTCTTGCCATTTTAGAATTCCTCTGCTGGAATTCTCTATTTAGTTCTGTACCCCACTTTTTAATTGGGTCCTTTGATGTTTTAGAGACTTGCTCCTTGAGTTCTTTGTAAATTTTGGAGATCAGCCCTCTGTCAGATGTAGGGTTAGTGAATATCTTTTCCCATTCTGTGGACTGCCCTTTTGTCTTGCCAACTGTGTCCTTTGCCTTACAGAAGCTACTTAGTTTCAGGAGGTCCCATTTATTAATTATCGGTCTCAGTGTCTGTGTTACTGGAGTTGTATTCAGGAAGGGGTCTCCTGTACCAATTCCTCCAAGGGTGCCTCCCACTTTCTCTTCTAACAGGTTCAGTGTGGCTGGATTTATGTTGAGGTCTTGATCCATTTGGATTTAAGTTTTGTGCATGGCGATAGACATGGATCTATCTGCAGTCTTCTACATGTCAGCCTCCAGTTATGCCAGCACCATTTGTTGAAGATGCTTTCTTTTTTCCATTGTATAATTTTAGCTTCTTTGTCAAAGGCCAGGGGTTCATACGTGTATGGGTTAATGTCGGGTGTTCAATTCGATTCCATTGAAGAATTTCTTTTTAAGATGAATATAGTTAAGGGGTCTAACGTCAGGTTTATCATATGTAAACCTTTTTGTATGAGTTTTGGTGATCAAATTCAGTTTCTCTTTCAAGTAATATATGAGCTTCCACAACCCCTACTCCCTGTTATGTTTTTATCTGCAAGTTAAAGTGAAAACAGCTTTCTCCAGGTTTACAACTGGGCGATGAATCTATACTGCTGACACCAGTAACAAAAGCATTTGTCAAGGCTCAGCCACCAACCTCAAGGGCCATTCTGTGACAACTGGACTCCTGTGTGATTCAACTGGGCCTCGTTTAGTCTCTATGAAGAGCTTGTATCTAACTAACTGCTGTGGACATCATTGGAGGCTGTTTCCTCAGTTGGAACTGATTGTCTAAAGGGATTAACAGACTTTGAAGGCACTATTTGATATTTCCAAAGACGTCCTTAGTGCCTGGAAAGGAATAAACCTATTCTTTCCTTCTTTGGTTGCAGAAGGATACTATGTTTTTTTTTTCCTATGGCAGGTTGGCCATTCTCCTGGCATCCCTGACATTGCGGGTAGCAGAGCAGGATGTCCCATTGTCATACCCCAGTAAGCAGCCAAGGTTTCAGAAGAAAACTGATTCCTTCAGTCACCCTTGCTCACTGCCAGTGCAATGTGCCTTTTGAATTTTAATCGGGCCCATTGGATGACTGTGAGAAATGAGGCCACATTGAAAGTTCACAGTACCAGACTCCTTCCTACACCTCAGAGAGATCTAAACTTTGGATGAAATCAAAGAGGCTACAAGACCAGAGCTCTAGGATGAAAAAGCTCCTGAAAGTCAAAACACAGAGAAGAGAACTCAGTAGAGTTGTGTGTAGAGAAGATGCATGCTTCCCACAAAAGTAACCAGGCAGCAGAACGAGGAAGAAAAGAGAAATAAATGACTTGTGAGATGCCCTCAAGAGCTGTAACTCACCATCAGCCGGAACGTTCCCTCAGAGAATTATTTCTGTAGCTAATCAGAGACGAGGAGGTACATTTTCAGCTAATGTGGGGCTTAAGAATAAGATAAAGATGTGGAATGGGAATTATGGCATAAATCAAAGATAAAGGCTTCTCTCCTAATTTGGTGGATGTTACTAACTTTTATCTAAGAAAAAAACACCCACACTGCCCATGATCCCAGGGAAGAAAGTGGACTTAGGGAGTTGTTCGGTTTTTAGATGTGACTGTTCTGTTGGGTACACTTTAACTAGCATCCTCCTAAGAGCTAAGTGAGATGGCAAAGCAGCACCTTCAACCTGACAGGTGGCGCTCAGTGGCGTGGGACTCAACACAGACTGAAGGCAGTATAAATAAACGTCTCTCTGTTTCGCTTCCTTCCTAAGGTGCCATGTTTCACCAGAAGTGACAGGAGCAGGGAGGTTAAAGACGAGGGGACGTGCACGCATGCTTTACCATGCGCCAAGCGCTGTGGGGACCTGTCGGTAAACACTCCAGCTTTCTGGTGCTGTGGTTGAGCACAGGGCCTGGCAATGCTAAACAAACACTCCATCACTAAGCCCATGAGTGATTCACTCAGTAAAGAAGGCTGGCCTTGAACTCACTCTGAAGGCCAGGCAAGCCTTTAGCCTGTCATTTTCCTGCATCAGTCTGTGGATTATGCCACTAAGATATTGTTTGCTCTGTGAGATAAATGAGGTATGGAAACATGTGGGTGCCATTTTGTAGAGGGAGTTTCTTTCCCACCTGGTCCTGCAGCCATTTAGCCCCAAATGACACAGAGGTGTCTATTAATTATAACCTGTTGGTCAATGGCTCTTATTAATTAACCCATAACTACTAATCTATGTATTTCCATCTGACCTTGTCTTACCAGAAAACACCCAGCACGTCCTATTTTCCTGGTATCTACATGGTGTCCCCTCTAGCCACTTCTCTCTTTCCTCTACCCAGCATTCTCCTTGTCTGGTAGCCCCACCTATACTTCCTGCCTGGTTACTAGCTGATTGGTGTTATATTTGTCAAACAATATGTTTCTCATCCAAGATGAAATCGTTTTTCCCAGTACAACCATGGGGCCAGAGCTTTAACACAGGCTTTTAATCTTAAACACATATAGTCTGAGGTTACTAATCACAGTCCTTAGAGGCAGGAAGACGTGAAACTAAGCATGATGTGTGTCTTCCGTCACACTGGATAGTTGAGTATTTTCTTAATGCTTCTGGAAGCTTTGGGATGGGAAGAGCACGTGTTTTTAGCCCTGTTTTCTTCAAAGATGTCCCTATAAATCATGATGGTTGTTTCATCAGAAATGAATGTAATTGCAAAGAGATAATTTTAATGTAGTTTTAAGTTAAATAAACAGTAATGTTCATATTTTAATGTTATTGTAAAATGGATACAATAGCAGCAAAGAACAAATCCTAATCAAGATTGTATCAGATCCCTAATAGACTTTTTAAATTATTCTAAATATGTGAATAATTTTGTATCTAATATTGCAAGCATTCCTTGTTGCTTTATGAGGGTTTCATAACTGATTTTTAAACTGATGGGGTTCTTTGAATATTAATTATATTTTGAGTTTTCTAATCATGGAATGTGGAGATCTAATTTTAACTTTAAAGGCATTTGTGGTAGATCTTGGTTATAGAGGGATACTGAATAGCCAAAGCTCATTTTTCTGAAACCGTGTTTCCCTGTTTTGCTTTGTAGGGATCTACCGAACAGAAAGGGACAAAGGCACTTTGTATGAGCTCACCTTCAAAGGGGACCATAAACATGAATTCCAACGGCTTGTCCTATTTCGACCCTTTGGCCCCATCATGAAAGTAAAAAAGGAAAAACTCAACATGGCCAACACGCTTATCAACGTTATCGTGCCCCTAGCGAGGAGGGTGGACAAGTTCCGGCACTTCATGCAGAACTTCAGGTGCGTTTGTTTGCAAGGAGCCCTGCTCATTTGTTGGCAATGTCTTCATTTCCACTGCGTGTACAAAGGCTCCTTTGTACTCCACTCAGTTTTCTTCATACGAAGGTTGCCAGTTGTATCTGCCTTTCCCTAAAGCAATTAGAAAAGCCTTGTTTTGAATGTATTTTCCCTCGAAGTAACGTCTAGGAAGGATGGGCTATCAACAGCGCTGCGGGTGTCACCTTCATTCTGACTTGATAAACCAGTGCTGCATTTGTTACCTTGAGTTCTGATTGGGTAAACCAGTGCTGCATGTTCTGACTTGAGCCTGGGCTCCAAAGCCAAAAATGAAATTCTCAAAGGCAAGCAAATGAAGTTCAAAATCATCAGGAACAGGTAGGAACTGGCTTGTAGTGACAAAACACATGTCATTGATGACTCTGGACAAGAAAGATACCCTGGCTCAGCAGAAGACTAGCCTCATTTGCTGTCCAGTTCTAACTGCATCTAGAGGAGATTGAATCACAGTTTATTTCTTATTCTAAGCTACATACCCCAAGAGATGGAATTTAAAACTGTTGCAGGAAGGCTTTAGGGACTCATCTTTATAGACATTCAGTAAGTAGACCTTTATTCCAGGGTGCATTGGTGGAGTTTGTGTGTACGTGACTGGAAACTCTCCACTGAGCAACAGCGGGTCTCATTATGTTTAAGTATGTAATCGACATATAGGCTGAGGTGAACCAGTCAAATGATTTAGTTACCTTGTTTAAGGAAGTCAGTTTATTTTATCAAATTATGAATCCTGAAAGACTTAGCTAATTTTTTAAATCTATTATCATTAGGTTCAGATTATTAAGATGTCAGTGATGTTCAGTAGAAGAATCTGGTTGGTAACTCTCAGCATTCTAGCTCAAGACACAAGAGGCATCCTTTTGTAATTGAGTTATTTTTATCAGAATCAAATTGTCTTTGAAGAGACCATTGAAGTCATCTGGGAATGTAAGATGGAAGCCACAGGTGAGAGCCAGGGGCTGCAAAGGATAGTACATACAAAGACAGATTCCCAGAGCAGATGCACACTGTGGCAGAGACTGAGTGATGTCTCTTCTGTGCAGCCAAGGAGTTTCTGAGTGTGTGCTGGGCTCTGAAGAAGTGGACTGTAAAATCATAAGAACCTAGGGCATTTAATTCTATGTAGAACATAGTAAAATGATTGCTTTCAAATCCCAATCAAAAACAAATTGTGTAAAACATAGCGCTAGAACAAATGACCAAACATAGCTGGAAAAGCTAATTCTTTTTTTCCACACCTAAATTTAACGAATATCCATTAAGCCAAAGGGGTTCCATGGGAACCGTCAAACAATCCAGGCTGCTGCCAAGACAATAGGTTGCTTTCCACAATCTGATGGCAAGGCCCCACTGCTGAAGACAAGGCCTACAGAACTCACTAAACATGAAGAAGTCGAGCTGGTTCCTACCTGGAGCCTTCACCCCAACATCTTTGGTATGGGATAGTACTTGCACACTACCAACGGAGAAGCTTAAACACCAACCAGCTATAAACTCTTGGATCTACAACAGTGTTCTGCCAGCAAGATATGATAGTGTAATGGTGTCACAAAGTTTGTGGGAGTAATCAACTAATAATTGAATGCCTGCTCTAAGAGATGAAACCCATATACTGCTTGGGTGAGCCATAATCTGAGACTAGATACACAGAGGCATAAGGTAAAACCAAATACTATTTTTCCAAAACAACAACAGCAACAACAAAAAAGTAGCAATAAAATGTCTCCTAATGACACCCTGCTGTACTCTTAGATCAGTGGCTTGCTCAGCCATCATCGGAGACACGTCCTTCTGCAACAGATGGAAACAAATACAGAAGTCACAGCCAGGAACTATGCAAAGAGTGAGAGATCTTGGAACACTCAGCCCTAAAGTAGATAGTAAATCCCTCCTCTCAGGATTCAGGGATCTCTGTGGAAGAAGAGGGAGGAAGACTGTAAGAGCTGTCAGAGGATATGGAGGACACTATGAAACAAGGCAAAAATAAAAAAGAAAGAAAGAAGGAAAACAAGGCCCTCTAAATCAACAGGAACCCATGGAGACTGAGGCAGTATATACAGAGCTTGCAGGGGTCTGTACTAGTTGGGGTCCTAGAGGTAAAAGGAGAAGTGGTCACATGCTTTCAGCCCTGACCCAGGAGCAATCTCCAACTGAAAACCACTTGTACATGAAAATTTAGGTTTCTACAAAGGGAGTCTCATTGTAGAAACAAACTACTCTTAAGGGTAGGCTGCATGCCCAGAAGTAGATGGCCAATAGACAATAAACTCAACTGACAGCTTCGGAGGTTCCTTGTCTCATAACATTGTGTTAATGGCTGAGTTTACTCCTGGAGCCCTCATAATGGTGGAGGGAGTGAACCAAGTTCACGGAGAAGTCCTCTGCCCTATACACTGTCCTGTGGCAAGCACAACCACATACATTATGTCTACATAGAATAGAATTGTTGGTAAATTCGATGAAAGATCATCTTGGAGTTTCTAACTTAAGATGGACACTTAACTTATAGAAGTTATTGTTGGCTGCTACAAGATGTTTGTGCAATGTAGATCAAAACAAGGAGTAGATTATTTTAAAAGCAACCCACAGCTAAACACTATTTACATTAATTCAATACCATTTTTTCACATGACCTTTCTTAACATGCATGTGAGAGAAAGGACAGTTTACTGGCTATGAATAATTTAATACTGCATGAGATATCTTACATATCCCATTTTAATGCATTAAATTTTACCTCCATAAATTCGTAGTAAAAAAGAATCTAAGTATGCTAGAAGGAACTGCTGGGTTTCTAGCAAATGTGTCTTCACTCTGAAAAGATTAATTCATAAAAGATCTTTCTCATGTTGAAAAGCTACTCACAGAAGAAGCTATGATTGGAATTATAATGTCCTTCAAGCGTATTTTAGTGTCCCACTGAACCGACTAAGGAGTTGCAGTAGAAAGAGAAAATCCACACGTTCCATTCGCTTTCCTTCCTCTGATTCATCCACGTTCCAAGTTTAGTCACTTGTGTTGTTACCTAGTTGGGGGAATGCAACCCTTAGTTTCTGTTTTGCAAAAGGCAAATTCTGTATTCAGATTTATTGCATTTCTTAAAATAGCATCCCCATCCCTCAGTTCCTGGTTGTGTTTAATGAGTAAGAGATACAAGGACAGCCACAAATGCTTTAACATGGACTGTCTACAGCTACCTTTGTAGTGTTAACAGGACAGGTTGGCTGGGCTTAAGAGCTTGGGACTTACTCAGAACTATATAGATTTTCTTTTAACATTGAATGATGCCATGGAAATGTATTAGGAATAGTTAATTTATCTGTTTAAAAAGTAACTTATGCCTCAAGGCCAGAAGAATTCCTCTTTAGTCTTGAATTGTATGTAGCAACTTAATCAGGATATGTCTTCTCTTGATATTGATTAATTTGCCTAGGATGTAGTTGCTATGTTGTTTTATGGACTCTTTTTGTGTTAAGGGGTGAGGATGGTTTGAATGAGGATGGCCCCCCCATATGCTCATATATTTGAATGTTTGGTCCCTAGTTGGTAGAACAGTTTGGGAAGGATTGGGTGGTGTGGCCTTGTTGGAGGAGGTAAGATAGAAGTGGATTTTGAGGTTTCAGAAACCTAATATAGGTTCTGGCTCTCCCTCTCCCTCTCCCTCTCCCTCCCCCTCCCCCCTCTCCCTCTCCCTCTCCCTCCCCCTCTCCCTCTCTGCTTTCTGCTCTCTCTCCCTCTCTCCTTTCTGTCCCTCCTCTCCTTCCCCACCTCTCTGCCTCATCTCTGTGGATCAGGATGTAAGCTCTCAACTACGCCTCCATGCCTGCATGCCCAGTGCCATGTTGCTCACCATGATGATCAAGGACTGTAACTTTCTAGACCTTGATCATAGTGTCTCTTTACAGCACTAGAGAAGTAATTATTATAGGATTTTATGATGTCCGCATGACTTGTTCAGTTCTGAGCCACACGTGTGCACAATTGTCTATTTCATGAATTGTTTCCATTTTCTAACATCTCCATTTTTCTCATATGTATGTGTTGTGTATATGTGGCATTTGTGTATATGGTATGTGTATGTATGAATATGTGTGTATGAGGTATGTTTGTGTGTTGCATTGTATGGCGTGTGTGTACATGGTGTGTAGGTTATATTGTGTGTCTGTGGTTATTTGTAGTGTGTGTGGTGCATTCATGTGAACACAGACCCTTATGTGTACATGCAGAGACCAGAGTAGATGTTCTCCTCTATTGTACTCCACCTTATTTCCTTGAGACAGTGTCTGTCATAGAACCAGTATCTTCCCTTCTGACTGGAATGGCAGCTAGCATGATATGCCTGCCTGGCCACAATGCTGCCCTCATTGCCATGTAAAGCCATACCATGTTTTTATGGAGATGCTGGGATTCAAACTCCGATTCTCATGCTTTCAGAGCAAGAGCCCTCACTCACTGGGTCACCAACCCAGCCCATCTCTCTGTTTTTAATACCTGCATGCCTGTGCGTCTTCTCTTTTGATCTTTTACAAATGTATCTTGTATCTTTCTAAGATATCTATGTTTGTCTTGACGTTGATTTATTTCCTGAGCATACAGTGTGCCTGACACTCTTATTTTGTTTTGTTTTAAAATGAACTTTTAAAAATTGGATTCATATTTCATGAAAGTGGAACAATCATAAGAAAGTTTCTTTCGGTTGATACCTGTTTCCTTTGAGACTGTATCTTCTTTTTACTTTGAATGTCATTAAAAAAAGATCTGTTTCTGCCCCCCTCTTCGCCTGTCTTCCCACACCCTCTTTCTTTCTCTTCTTGCCCCGGGGTATGCTTGCTGTGGTGTTTTACAATCAAAGGCCTGCCTGGGCTTCTACCTCATCTAAAAGCCACTGTGCCCACTCCAGCTGTACTCTGAAGACTGAGTATTGCTCTATTGACGTCTGTGATGGG